ATTCTCTCTCTACATCCATGTTTCGCATTTTCTCTCTCCAAACTCATTGATCTACTTTTTCTAATCCAAAAATTTCTATGAATTTGTGAAAAAATATTAATAAAAATTGTTCAATCACTACAGAATTAAACCAAACAAGGTCGAAATTCGAAAGAATAAGTGATTCAGAAAAAGTATGAACCCTAGGTTTTACTGATTTTTTTTTGTTGTGATGGTATTTTAGAACAATAATCGAAACATCACCATGGAAAATGCATCAACGTAAGTATTTACTACAATTTTAGTAATTTTTGTTCAAAAACTAGTAAATCAAATCAGTACATTCTTCAATTTTTTTTTTTTTTTTTTTTTTTTTTTTTTTTTTTTTTTTTGTACAACGAAGAAAACAATTTCAGAGAAGGAAAACAAAGATTCTGGAAAAATGTAAGTATTAATAAAATTAATTCGTAGTGAATTTTTTCTTTAGATGAATGTTCATTCCCATTTAGATAAATGCGTGCTCATTTATACATTAGTATACTATCATTCACATGTTTTTTTTTTATTTTTTTTGAATAAACTATCATTTACATATTAATAGATAATTAATATAAAAGCTCATTTATTCATTAATTCATAGACATTCGTGTAATAATGTTCATTTTTTTCATAGTTTGAAGTGGAAAATATTTTGATGAATGTTCATTTTTTTTTTTTGGTAAATGTTCAACACATAATAATACATGGTCATTCATAATTTCACATATTAACATACGATTATTAGAATTTTGATATATGTTCATATATTTTTTGTTATCTACTTCAAATGTTTCATGTACATTTTAATTTTGAATTGTTTCAAATATGTTTTTTTTTTCTCATATGAATATATGGTCAATCACATGATGATAGTTTCAAGATTTTATTCACGTATATATTTCATGTTCAACAATTTTTATCTTTCATGCATGATCATTTTCAAACTAATATATGCTAATTTATAAAGCAATGTACGTTCATTTTCATATTGAATTACGTAAATATGTTCATTTATGTATTATTAGTTGTTCATTTCCATATCGATAGATGGTCATTTCCATACTAATATATATTCATATATGTTCATTTATATACTAATAGATGTTCACTTTCATATCGTTCCTGTCAATTGTTATATTCACTCATGTTCATATTCATATAAATATTGGTTCATTTTAACTCTTATTCTAACCTTGCTCAAATCTAATACTGTAATTTATATGTTTTTTTTTCTATTAGTTAAACAAAGAATCGTTGATATAGTGAGATAGATCACACAATAGCAAGGAAAAAAGGAAGACAACAGAAACAAGGAGTTTAAGAAGACATGGATTCGTCAAGCAACATGAACCAATAACAAGAGCTTAAATTTTTCAAATTCGGTTCAAGATTTCATTTTCATTCTGATCATTTCATTTTAATAGATGTACATTGCAATATTAATGACATAAGATGTTCATTTATTTTAATACTTGTTTACTCTCAAATTAAAACATGTTTGTTTAAGTGTTATCATATTGAAAAATGTACAATTAAATTTGAATATTTATTCATTCTTATACATAAAGATGTTCATTTTGTAAGATACATATGTTCACTTTTAAATAAGTATATGTTCATATTTATAAACATCTAATTTTCATTTTGATAGATATTTATTACAAAGTACGATATTAATACACATGGTTATTCACATATTAATGTATATATATGTTCATTTTCAATTTAATATAAGTGTTATATTTTTGTAAAGAAGACTAAAAGACACTCAATTAAACTACTCATCAATACCAATAAAATAGTGTCTCTCCCATAATATACATGCATTAGATGCATGTAATTATGAAGCTACTAACTTTTTTTTAAAAAAATAAATTATTATATTGATAATGCACATCTTTATTATGATTCATTATCATTTTATTTTGAACAAGTAAATGCATTTATTCTTAAATAAAAATATACATATACTTAAATGTTTATTTTGATACTAAAACACCTATTATGTCATGAACTAGTTAATTTTTCTGATAAAATTTATTCTATCATGTAATAATTAACATTTACACATAAAAATATGAATGTTAAAATAGTACATATTCATACTTATATATGTTCATTTGCATATTAATGAATAGTCTATAACATATCTTATTACTTGTATGTAATTAAATTTTAGATACAGAGTACTTATTTGTTCAATAATAACTTTTGAAGGTAATTTGTTTTATAGATCAACTATTTTTTTTTGACACTTTATAGATCAACTAATTAATTTGCAAATGATACGTAAACCATAATAGGTGAATTTTAATTCTTCACAATTAGATGTTCAATAATTATAAATAATTAAATGTTTATTTACAATCATTAAAAAATATATGTTCATTTATAAAACAGTACATGTTCAATCACGGTGCATAAAAGTTTTCCAACAAATTCTCCTATTCGATTTTCGTTCCCCATTGTCATCTCAAATTAGCTCAAGCCGATGTGCTTCCTCTTATTGATTTATGGTGGTGGTGGTGGAGCGGTGATGCGACGAAATATCATCTCCTATATATATCTTATGCTGCTCCATATAATGGAAGCCTTTCTCCTCTACCGCCAATACGCGTTCCCCATTATGACCACAACAATCGCAATAATCACAAGTACAGGAATGCTACAAAAATCAATAATAATCAATTATTACAAAGTGAATCTAATAACAACCATTTAAAATACAAAAACAACAAATAATGCAAAATTAACAACCTACATTGTCAATTACGACACAGGATAACAAATATTATTGAATAGGAAAAATAAAACTAAATTCAAATCAATTAAATCGAAAAAATTGCAATCAAATCAAAAAACACAAATACATAAATCAATCGGATAGAAGAAATTCCAATCAAACCATAAATTAAAACTAAATAAAAATAGAACAATAAGAAGATTGAAAAATTCACTCCATGGAATTGAGCAAGAAATCTCCATGGAAAAAGAGAAAGAAAATTGAAAAACAATAATAAAAAAAAAACAATGGAGAGAGAAAATGAAATCAGTGAAAACAAGGAGAGAGAAAATGAAATTTGTGAAAAAGAGAAGAGAGAAGATGAAGCAAATTAGGTCTGTAAATATACTTGCTTTTATGGAAAGTAAAGAAAGAGAGGGAAAAAAGGGGGAAAAAAACATGCGAAAGGTATGTCGCTAGATGAAACGACGTAGTATAGAAGGGGGGGTGTAGGGGAAGCTGCATACACTAGAGTCTAGGGAAAAAATTGTACTTAAATTTTAGACCCGATGAGTCTGGGTCGGATCTGGGTTTGTGTTTAATGGGTCGGATCTGGGTCCAAAAAGTGTAGATCCAAACCCGACCTAGATCCGACCCATGACCCATTTTTATTTTTTATAAATAATAAATATATATCAGATATGATATTATAAAAAAAAACCACTTAATTAGATATACTAAATTAATAATATACGGAGTACTACGTAATTAGAGGTTGAGAAGATAGATTTTAGAGAAAGTCAACAAAACAGCAAGCAGCCAAGAAACTTAGTTTTTAAGATTTTTTTCATGCATTGCCTTTACTTTTTAATGAACAAATTATTTGTGTGTCAGAAATATGAACAAGTTTTTTTAATGCATCTTATTGTTTTCAAGTAGTAGTATAGTTATAAATTTGTAATATATATAAAAGATTATAAAAAATTAATAAAAATCATAATTAGACCCATTTTAGACCCAGGACCCGCTAGACCCAATAGATCAGACCTAGCAGGTCTGGGTCGGATATGGGTCCACCTCCAAAATTCCGGGTCTGCGTCTGGGTCTTGGTGGACCCGACCCTGACCCGACCTGACCCATTGCCATCCCTAGTTGTGGAGGCTTAATTTACCATAACATTGACCATATTTGGCTATTAGCGGTTAGCTAATAGTTGTGGTTGGTTGTATAATTTATCAATCGACTATTTCACCAAATGCCACTGAGCACTTTAATAATTCACCAAATGTCATCAGGGTTTTCAAAATTCACCAAATGCCACTGAAAAACAGTATGATGTCATGTCATGCCATTAATGAGGTTTGCTCGTTAGTTCTCCGTTAATGTGAATTGACGATTTTGCCTTTATTGTATTAAATGGCGCCATAAAGCCTTTTGACTCCCCGAATTGACCTAATAACTTAAATAATTAAAAGTTGAGGAGTCGAAGTCTTCATCCTCTCACCCTTCTCTTTTCTTCATGCAAAGTCTTCAGCAGTCAACCTTGCAATTCGATCAAGGTCGAAGCTGTTTCTAAGTCTAAATTTTGATCAGCAATTCAATCGGTAGTAGCACGAAGTAGTAATTGCGCTGGTATTTGGGGGAACTGAAGTCGTTGTTCGCAAGGAGGGGGAGCAGTGGTAGTCAATCAGAGCTTGAAAAATGTTGTTACGCTTCCAAAATAGCATGCAAGGTAACACTTTGTCCATCGATCTTCAATTCGAGTACTGATTTTGTCAATTTTTCCTGATAATTGAATTAATGTTAGGGAATGGTTGGTTGAGTTACATGTTGTGATGTTAAGTTTAAAATCATGTTATTTTACTGAATTATAGGTTTGACTGTGGCAAATGTATTTTTTTGTATGTTAGGGTTACACTTTTCTGTGATTTTGATTCATTATAATGAGATTTTGTGAAGTGTTAGAATATTATGAGGTTTGGCACGTGTGTGTGTGGATGTGAATTGTGTGTGTGTTGAGTAACTTGGTAATTTTTGTTGATAGAATGAGTAAAGTGTGGCTGAATGTCCACTGTAGAGATGGTGGTTTTGATCTGTTGGTTGATGATACAGACCAGACTAGTTTAATGGATTTGTTTGAGTTTATGTTTGAGGACTCTGTCAAGCAAAATGTGTGGCTCCCTAAGTACTTTGCTTTGCTTGTTACAAACCTAGAACTAATAGGAAACTGGAGTTATGTGTTGATGGTGATAAGTTAAAAATGTGGGAGTGGAATGTGGGTAAGGAAACAATAGATGTATGGTTGGAGGAAAGGGAAAGTCCTGGTTTGGTGTTTAAGGATGCTGAAGCTAGTTGGCATAGAAGGTTAAAACAGAAAGCTGAGAGGGATAGGTTAGACATGGAAAAAAAGAAGAGGTTAGTTGAAGAAGATGAAGCTCAGAGGGAGCTTGATGAACAACAACCTTACACTATTGTCGTAGAGGTTCATATGGTTGTTGCTGAGGACTCAAGAGTTGAGTATGTTAGAGCGTTTCACACTCCAGTAGCTGATGAGGTTTTCCCAGTCCCATCCCAGCCTCAGGCAGAACAAAGTTCTCAGTCAGAAAATGGTTCCCAGCCATCAACTCCACCAAAACATTCTCAACCCACTTCTCCTCTTAACCAGCCCAGAATAAAAGTTGTTGGGAAGAAAATGACACTTAGGAAAAGGAAAACTACAGCCAAAACACCACCTCCTACTGATGCATCTGTCAGAACCCCAGAACCCTCTCCAATTCCAACAACAGCCCCACCACATACACCACAACCTTCTCCAAACACAACAACATCCCCACCACCAACACCACAACCCTCTCCAAACCAAGCAACATCCCCACCACCAACACCACAACCTTCTCCAAACCAAGCAACATCCCCACCATCAACACCACAACCTTCTACAACCCAAGCAACACCCCCACCCCAAACAGTACCACCTTCTACTACAATCTCATCTTCTAGTGCAGAACCTACAAATGCCTGTCCAGATAAACCTAAGAAGGGGGATAGATCTAGACCCCCAGGTTTCAAAACAAAAAAGAGTGTTGGAAAAAAGGTTGCTGAGGGAAGTCAGGAGCAAGGTGTGAGTCTAAGGAGATCAGGAAGAAGTAGGAAGTCACCAGCTAGGGTTGAGACTAGTGATGATAGTACCGAGGATGATAGATTTGATGATGATGATGGTGATGATGATGATGATTACATAGAATCTGGTAGTGAGCCAGATGATGATGATGCTGATCTTGCTGACTTCATAGAGGAAGAATGTGAATGTTTATATGATGACATTCATGAGAAGTAGTTTGAGGATTACCTTGATGGGAGTTCAACTATGGACAAGACTTATAAGAATGGCAAAGTCTGGACTCACCAAGAATTTGGAGCCATTACACTAGAGCCTTGGTTGATCTTTGCAGACAGAGAATCATTCATGGATGTATTCAAGGATTACTGTATACAGGAAGACTTTGGTGTCTTTGTGGAAAAGAGTGACCCACAGAGGTATATTGCAAGATGTGCTATTGATTCATGCAACTGGAGAATTCACGCTTCTACAATGACTCACAAAGTTAGCTTGGAAATCAAGACACTAACAGGGGAGCATAACACTTGTGGCAGGCTAGAGATTAACCCTGTTGTGAGTCTAATAGGCTGTGCAGACATCTGCAATTAGATATTCAAGCCAACCCTGACATTCCAGTTGAGTCTTTACAGAGAATTTGTATGGAAAGGTTCAGAGTTCAAGTTAAAAAAGGCTATTTTATAAGGTGAAAGCTATGACCAAGGAGATGATACATGGTGGTTTTGGAGAGGCATACTCCTTTCTTCCTAGATATGCTGAGATGGTTAAACAAACTAACCCATGGAGTTATGCTCTAGTTACATGGACACAAGCCTCTGCAAATGTGTAACCTAGATTCAAGGCTTGCTTTTTTTCTTTTGCTGCCCAAGTTAGAGGGTTTTTGTCAGGCTGCAGACCTATTATTGGCATTGATGGTAGGGGTGGCAAAAACTGACCCGAACCCGACCCAATAATAGCGGGTTAGGGTTGAGAATTTCGACACGAAAACTTAAATAGGTTGACATGAACCCGACCCGAAATTAAATGGGTTAGGTTAAGGTTGAAAATTTCGACCCGAAAATGACCCACGTAACCTGAAATTATTTTCGGGTCAAAATCAAGTCGGGTCAACCTGAACCCGACCTTATAACCCGAAAAAAGTCTTTTTTAAAAAAAAAACTTCATTTTGATAATTTAATGGCCCAAGCCCAATTAGAAGTTTGAAACCTAGAAAAACATAAAACCCTAAAAATAACTATCAGCCGTTTTCACTCATATTTTCACATTTTCTCCCTCTTAAAACTTCTCAGTGTTCTGGATTGTTCTCACTCCTTCGTTCTCAAGTTCTCAACTTCTCCCTCTTCTCACTGAGTTTGAAAACCCTAATTTCGTTCTCAACTTCTCACTCTTCTTACTCTTCTCACATTTTTGTCCTCTAATGTTTCGTTCTCACTCCTCATCGTTTGAAAGGTAATGTTTATTAATTGTTTTCGTTTCGTTTTTGTTTTGGATCTCAAGTTATGATTTCGGAATTTTCCATTCTCGTTTTTTTTTTTCAAATCTTCAAATCTTCCTCTCCTTCAAGCCGTTAAACCTCAAAGGTAATTTTTTGTTAATTTTTGTTGTTTTCGTTTTGATTTTTTTCGTTTTTGTTTCGGTTTTTTTCGATCTCAAGTTCTAAAGTTCTATATTCTTGATTTTTGCTTTCGATCTCCAGTTCTCCATCTTCAAATCTTCCTCTCCTTCAAGCCGTCAAAGCTCAAAGGTAATTACTTTTGTTTCCGTTTCGTTTATTTTTTTAATACAGTTTTTTTGTATTTGATTATTGTTGTTGTTCTTTCTTGATAATAGTCTTAATATGCCTAAAATTTGTGTTGTTGATTGTATTTTTTTTTTTACGGGAAAATGGTAGATCTGTGCTGTTTTGTTGTTTATTATGCTCGATCTAATAGTAATGATGATGGGTTGTTCAGATAACGTATGGTTTTATAAAATTATAAGTGGAATGAAGTTTATTTGACTGAATATTTTTTATGTACAATCAGAGTTAGAGAATGATTGCTTTGTAAATTTCTAGCACAATAATCCAATTTTCCCTGAACAATTTTACAGCGAGAATATATCTCTATGACATGCATGTGATTTTTTTTATTTTTATTTTTAGTTCTGATTTAGATTATATCTCTAGCTTGTTGTTGTTGACTTGTTGTTTATTTTATATTGTTGTTCTTATCCAAATAATTTCTGATTTTTAGGTTTAATTTTTTCAGGTTCATTTGATCATTTCTGTAGATTATTACTCTATTTCTGTATTATATTTTGCAAGTTTGTGAGAATGTAATTATTGTGTATTTGTATTACTAGTCATTTACTCTATTTCTGTATCACTAATTATTGTGTATATTTTCATTTACTTCCGTGATGAAGCTTAAGGTGGGGGACAACGATGACACACCACAAACCTCGCTGGAACTTGAAGAATTTAATGAGAATGCTTCTTTGAACATTGTTTGAGTCATGAAGACTATAAAGTTTATTAAAAAACATTTATTTTTTTTAGTTGTGGTTTGTAATTTGTTAAAACTATTTTGGTGTGTAATAGTTAATTAGGCATTTTAGACTTGTTAACTTTATTTGGTTTTCTTGAAAACTTGAAGTTTGGAAATCAGGTTTGAAAACATTAGGTAAATAAATCAGGTTTTGTTAACTGTTTGAAAACACAAAATCTGGCTAAAAATTAGTTTATTCAGGTAAAAAAAAATTAAAAAATTTAACAAAAATCAGGTCAAATCAGGTCTTTTTCGGGTTGACCCGAACCTGAAAATATCAGGTTCAGGTTGGGGTTTTCAACTCGAAAACTTAAATGGATCAGGTTCAGGTTGGGGGTTTTCTGACCCGAAACTCGAAAACCCGAACACGAACCCGACCTGACCTGATCCGTTTGCCACCCCTAATTGATGGGGCCCATCTCAGTGGATATTATAAGGGCATTTTGTTAACAGTAGTTGGGATTGATGGGAACAATGAGATATTTGTGATTGCTTATAGCAAAGTTGATACAGAGAGTTATGACAGTTGGGGTTATTTTATGAGGAATTTGAAATGTCTATTTCGGAAGGAGGGCTGCAATAGAGATGATTGGACCTTTATTTCTGACAGGATGAAGGTGAGCTAGAAATCACTACAACTAAGATTAACTTTTAACAATGACATGCACATTTCAGCTAATACACTTGATTGAATGTACATGCAGGGGGTTGATGCAGCAGTTCATGACACATTCCCTAGAGTAAGTAGAAGAATATGCTGTCAGCATTTGTACAGTAACTGTAAGACAAATGGATTTAGTGGAACAACTTTTCACAAGCTCTTCTAGATTGCAGCTGATACAATCCAACCATATGTCTTTAATAAAGCTATGGGGAAGAATCATGCCTACAATCCAAAAGTTGTGGAGTACTTGAACAAAACCACTGAGGTTTGGTCAAGGCATCAGTTTGATACAACACTTTGTTGTGATAATAACACAACCAATTTTGTTGAATCATTCAATTACTGCACCAAGCCATACAGAGATCTACCTGTTCTAAAACTTCTTTGAGGTAATTAAATGGTTTGTTGTCTACCAGCAGCAGTTTGACAATGCTTTTGTTGTGTTGCTTACCTTTAAATGGTTTTCACTTATAAGGCAATGGTGCATGAAGAGGATGACTCCAAGGTTTGATAAAGCAGCATCCATGGGTGATAGGGACCTCACTGAGTATGCAACCAAGATCCTGCAAACAAGATTTGATGAGTCCAAGTTCTGCTATGCAACTCCATGTGGTGGTGATGAGTTTGAGGTGAGGGACCAACATGTGCATTTTCCTATCAATCTAGGGACGGGAACTTGTGGTTGTGGGAAGTGGCAACATTCAGGGATCCCATGCAAACATGTGCTAAGGGTGATTTACCACCAGAGGCTTCAACCTGTATATTTTATATCTCCTTATTTCAAAGGGAGGGCATACAAAAGCACTTATGCCGAGTATATGCACCCAATGCCTGACCCAAGTCAATGGCCATCATTCAACCTCCCTGACATTGCATACTTCCACCACCAGTGAAAAGATCTACAGGTAGACCAAAGAAGTAGAGAAAAAGAGGGCCAAATGAAGCAAGGAAAGGGAAGAGGCATAACACAGTTAAGTGCAGCTTATGCAATGAGTTGGGCCACAACATGTTGACATGTGCAGCAAAGAAAAAGAATGCAGCAACTAAAGCAAGCTCTTCAAACACCAAGAAGAAAGCAAAGAAAGCTGCATGAACACCAAACCCTTCTCCTTTTGAATGCACAACAAAACTGTTATGGAATCTAGTTTTTGAACATTAATAGTCAACTGTGTGCTGTGTTATTGTGGTTTTTTTTGGACATGTTCTCTATAATTTTTTGGGGATGTGATGTGAACAGGAAACCAAATTTTTGGTGCACATGATTGAAACAGGAAGAATTAAGCTAAAATGAATGTTAAATTTACCACTTTATTCAATTTCATTGCAATTACAATATAGTTCAATTCATCATTACAATAACAACTATTACACACATCACTACACCTAATTTCATAACATAATTGAGAACTTTTTGCTGCTGCTTCACTTTCTTCTTCAATTGTTTCAATTCGTCATGCAAATTGCTATGTCCCGATCATAACAGCTTCCCCTACTTTGACCTTCTTCCGGCTTGAAAACTTTGCACAATTTGAAGCTATTACATGAATCACACTTGTAATAAAGCCTTTGTGGATTAAATGTTGACTCCGAGCTTCTAATTGCATATTTCTACCACAATTGCAAAATTTGTTTGGAACTCTTACATATGCATACTCATGTATTGAGGAGGATGTGTTTGATATCAAATTCATGATTATGCAAATAGGGGGCTGCTATGTGTGTTCTAAGTCTCACATTTATACAAGAAATTGGGTGTAACGGCTAGTTTACTCAAAAAAAATTCAAAAAATGGAGAAACTAATTAGCCGTTATAACTCATTAGTTTAAAGGTATATTGTGTAATAATTTACATATGTAATGGCACTTCATGAAAATTTTAAATTAGTCAGTGGAATTTGGTGAATTAAGAATTCCAGTAACGGAGAACTAACGGGCAGACCTCATTAATGGCATGACATGACATTATACTGTTTGTCAGTGGCATTTGGTGAATTTTGAAAACCCCGATGGCATTTGGTGAATTATTA